GACGCGCGCGTTCGTCGACGGCGGGACGACGGGTAAAATTCACGTCGCGGCGGCGCGGTTCGACGCGGCGCGCCCGCGGTCGCGCGCGCGTCGGCGTCGAGTTTTCGCGTCGCGCGCGATGCGCGATGGATGCGTCGGTCGATCGCGGCGGCGATCGGTGGGCGTCGCACTCGCGCGCGCGCGACGCGCGGACGCGCGCGATGACGCTCACGGAGGCGGAACAGGAGGTGTACGATCGACAGATCCGCGTGTGGGGTCTGGAGACGCAGCGAACGATCGGGGCGTCGAGGATCTTGGTCAGTTTTACGTGCACAGAAGAGGACGATGACGATGACAGAGGTGAAAAGAACGCGTCGTCCACGCGGGCGTCGCGCGGTGTCGCCGCGGAGACGGCGAAGAACGTCACGTTAGCGGGCGTCGGTGCGTTGACGATCCGGAACGACGATCGGGACGACGACGCGAGTGCGTACGCGCGCACCGTCGGGAGGGATGGGAATTTTTTAAACGTCGAGCGCGCGGATGAGTATCGGGCGATGGGACGAGAGCCGAAAGACGTCACGTTGGCCTCGAACATGGCTCAGACGTTATCGGAGATGAACGCGTTCGGGAAGATCACGGCGGAGGATGGAGGCGCGCGAGGGAAGAAGTTGTACGAGGAGGACGCGGATTACTTTTCAAAGTTTGACGTCGTCGTCGCGTGCGGATACACGTTCGCCGAGGCGGAAGCGATCAACGATCTGTGTCGCACATCCAACTGTGGATTTTTTGGTGCGTTCACCGGCGCGTCGGCGAGGTACTTCTTCGCCGATCTCGGTGACGCGTTCGAGTACGTCGCGGGGTCGGGCGAAAGCGTCGCGGCGGGCGTCGCGCGATACTCGAGGATGTCCGAAGCTCTGGGCGCGCGCGCGGGCGCGAACGATTGGACAAAGTTGAAGAAGCGCGCGTCGAAGATCCCGCTCGCCCTTCGCGTCGTGCGTGAGTTCGAGCGCAGGCATTCAAACAGACGCGCGACGGCGAACGATTGGGACGCGCTCGACGCGTTGCGCCGAGAGCTCGCCGGCGCGTTCGGCGCGTCGTCCGAAGACATCGTCGACGAGGCGTCGATTCGCGCCCTGTTACGCCCTGAAAACGACTTCCCCGCGATGAACGCCGTCGTGGGCGGAATATTAGGCCAGGAGGTGCTCAAGCGCGCGTCTCGCAGAGGCGCGCCGAGCGTAAACGCCTTCTTCTTCGACCTCGCCTCTGGACAAGGTTTCGTGCACGATTTCACCCCGTGACGCCCTGGACGAGCGCACCGCGACGACCATCGCGCGCGTCCTTCGCGTGCGCTTTGTTTGTAGTTGACATTCGGCGTCCGCCGCGGCGACCGCGCGCGCGCTGTAAGACACAAAACCGTGCGAGCCATTCACCCGCGCGCCGCCCCGCGACCGACGCCCGCGACCGCGCGCGCGCGTCGACGCGGACGCTCGACGTCGTCCGCGCGCGTCGATGCCCATCCGACGCGCGCGCGAGGCGATGAAACGACCGAAGATCGCCGATGGAACGATGCGGACGATGAAAGACATCTTTCGCGACGCCGAGGACGGTGCACGGACGCCGAGCGCGCGACGGAGGACGTCCACGGGTGGCGAACGACGCGTCATCGCGTGCGCGCGCGCGACGGGCACGGAGACGTTCGATGATTTCACGACGAACTTCATCTCGAACGAGGCGTTGGAGGCGAGCGGCGGCGCGGAACGAAAGTCGCGGACGGACGCGGCGAGGCGCGACGACGCGCTGGCGAGCGCGATCGAGTGTGAATTCGCGAACGAGGACGTGGGAAAGGTGCGGGTGCCGAGACGAGAGACGTACGAACGATTGGTGGAGGGGATTTTGCGTCCGGGACGGGGTCGGACGCGGACGCGAACCGCGCGGCGGTTGACGCGGATATTACGAGAGTGCGAGACGCGATCGAGAGCGACGAGCGTCGCGACGAACGCGTCGTCTTCGAGGCTCACGGTGATCACGACGGCGGAGGCGTGGACGCCGATGATGCGCAGCGACGCGATGGCGGCGGAGGACGCGCGCGGGTTGGCCTCGCCGCGGTCGCCGGGATGGACAAAGAAACGAGGCGTCGAGAGTGATTGGACGTCCCTGCGTACCGCCGGGCATATCGTCCAGAGCACCCTCCAACCGCCTTCGCTCGTCGCGGTATCGATCGTTCGCGTCCGGCACCCAAATCGTCTTCCCTCCCAAGCTTCGATCGATCAGTTTTTCCTCGATTTACTCGAGCGCTCGGCGTACGATGGGAAGTGTACGAAGGATACTGTTGGCGACGCGCACGCGCGGCGATCTTCGCGCGCGCGAATAACTAGGAAGAAGGACTTGGATGACGATTCCGTCGACGATTCCGACGACGATTCCAAAGCTTCAGTATCCTCGGTTTCCGAAGACGACGAGGATCCCGACGAGGAGAGCGCGGTGGCGTGGTCGGACGCGCACGTCGGAGCAAAACTTCTCTTCTTACACTCGAGCGCGCTCTTGACGCGCGACGCGAATTGCCGATTACGAGCGTTCGAGACCTGGCGAGACATCCCGGACTCGGCGATGAAACTGGCGACGGAGGCCATGTTGTATAAACTAATCGTTGAAGGCGCGCCGACGGAGGGCGAACGAAGCGCGCTGTTCGCGACACTCGTCGACGTCGCCTCGCTCGCGGGAGAGCGCGCTGGGGCTGACTTGGACGCCGTCGATGATGGGAACGGGCGGGCGACGCCTTCAAATGCGTCTTTGGAATCGACGCGCGACGCGTGCGGAGCCGAGAATTGCTCCGTGCGAGAGATCAGTTCAGCCGCTCGCGACGTCTTGGACGCTATCGTACGTCTCATCGACGCGTGCGAGTCTTTGAGGTCGTCGAATAACCCGCGGGTGCACGGGAAGGTTCGGACGCAGTTGGAGGACGCGTACGCCGAGGCGTGGAAACGCGGCGCGGGATCGCGATCGCGTTTACACAGCGACGAGGCCAAACGCGTGTTCATGCGTGAGATTCGTGATCCAAAATCACGTTTGATTCGCGCTCGGGAAATATTAGCGCGCCGCGTCGAGCGGCGACACGCCCCTGGAATCGTCGAGGGCGGCGTCGGCTCTGCGACCGACGGTCGAGGCGCCGCGGACGTCTTCAACTACGTCGCCGACGACGTCGTTCGCGCGGTGAAATCGCAGCAATCGAGCGAGGGTGGTGGTGATTTCCCGGGCGCGTACGTCGCTCTCGGTACCGTCGTCGCGTGCGCCGCACACGGCGCCCTTCGACTCGATCCTTCGGCCAAATCGTACGCCGATGCCCTCGCGCGATGCGCCGACGCCTTCCAAGCCGAGGCCGATCGAAGCGACTGCACCGATCGCGTCGCGTGCGCATCCGCGTCACTCGCCCTCGCCCGCGCGTTCGCCGAGAAATCGAGCGCCTAGGACGCGTCGCGGTGATGAAATTTCAATACACGCGAGCCCGTCGGTGACTCAATCCAGGCCTTTGGGCGCGCATGTGAGCGTTTTTTCGAGCGTTTTTTTATCACGACCGACAACCGACGCGCGTTCGCCCCGCACACGGCGACGCGCGAATGGACGGCGCAGTGTGCGAGAGCGATTTCGCTCAACCCGACGTGCGAGCGCAGAACGGCGCGGACCGAGCGCCGTGGGAGCGCGAACGGGCGTTGAATCACGCGATTCACTCTGGGGATGATTTCGAGCGACAGTTTAAAGAATTTTGCCAACGACCCGAGAACGCCCCGGTGGTGGCTGAGCACCAGAGACAAGAGCTGCGAAAGCTCGATCGAGTGCATCATCGATGTGATGCGATGGAATTCCGCGATGCGGTTCTGAGCGCGGACGAGGAGGCGCAGAGGAACGTGGCGCCGTTCCTGCGAACGCGCGTCTTGAGAACGCTCGTGTCGACGTTTAAGAATGACGAACACGGCGATTTCTCAAAGTGGGCGAATAACCCGCGCGTGATCGAGATGTTAAAGACGATGCAGGAGGCGATAGACGAAGGACGGGTGACGGAAACGGACGTGGAACAGACGATGGTGAATTATCTGAGCGACTCCGCGAATGACGGTCACGACAAGTTTAAGAAGGCAACGACGCGCGAGGCGAATCTCGAGACGAAGGATTTAGTCGGCGCTCTGAACGAACAGCTCACTTTACGGTTTCAAGGGAACGATCTGTACAAGGCGCGTCAGTTCGATGAGGCGCATCAGGCGTACACAAAGGCGCTCGGAATCATGAATCTCGTAAAGGCGAGAAATCCGAGCGACGCGCAAGAGGTGCGGAAGAACCGTCTCGCCTGTCTCGCCAATCTCGGTGCGTGTTGCATGGAGATGAAGCTCTTCGGTGAGGCGATCGGACACTTGGACGAATATCTCCTCACCGATCCCGAGAACGTTCGCATCGTCATGCGTCGAGGCAGGGCGCACGCCGGGAGAGGCGATTTCATCGAGGCCAAGCGAGACTTCTCCTCGTGCGTCGCGCTCAATCCGTTCGATTTCGAGGCACAGGAAGCTTTAGACGCCTTACGTCGCGACTATCGAGCGGACGTGCGTCGCAGGAAAGATCTCGCCAAAAAATACGTCAAAGGTCTGGGCCAATGATCGTCGGCGTCGACGTCTCGCGAGCGACGCCCGTCCGCGCCGCTTTGAAACTGCCAAAAATCAACCATTCTTCACACCTCGGCGCATGCGACGCGCTCGAGACGTCGTCGCGCTCCATCGAACGATCGAACGCGTCCGCGCGATGACGACGCACGCCGCGGCGACCGCGCGCGTTCAGAACATTGCGAAAACGACGTGTCGGTCCGCGCGCGCGTCCCGTGAATTGCATCAAAATCACAGTGATGAATGTCACGCGTTCGGTCGCGTGCGCGCGCGCGCGTCGACGGTGATGACGCCGACGAGCGATGGACGTCGATCAACGCGCGCGTACGCGAGTTCGAAATCGGGCACGTCGACGAAAACCGCGTACGTGTGCGCGGAGTGCGGCGAAGACGCGAGACAGTGGCTCGGGCAGTGTCCGGCGTGCAAGACGTGGGACAGCATGAAACCGATAAAGATTGACGGCGGATCTTCGAGCGGTGGGACGAGTGGGAAGAATGCTGGAGGTGGGGCCGGGGCGCGAGCGGTGGCGCGATTGGCGGAGGAGACGAACGCGTTCGGCGCGGCGGCGCCGGCGCGGCGAAACGGAAAGGCGTCGACCAAGTTCTCCGGGTCCACCGCCGGGGGATGGGTCGCCGAGGCGAACGCGCCGAGAAATTTGAAGGATGTCATCGGAGGTAGCGGTGAGAAGGGATCGACGAAGAACGCGATGCCGAGACGAAGGCTCTCGGGAGGATCAAACGAAGCGCTCGGGAGTGAAATCGAACGCGTTCTGGGCGGAGGTGTCGTTCCGGGAGGGATGACGCTCGTTGGGGGCGATCCGGGGGTTGGTAAATCGACGATTTTATTACAACTCGCGGGTTTGCTCGCGGAGAGCGGCGGGGCGGACGCGGGTCCGGTGCTCTACGCGTCGGGCGAGGAATCTGTCGAGCAAGTCGGCGGACGCGCCGAGCGCATGGGACTCGACTCGGATTCGATCTATCTCTACAGTGCCACGCGATTGGAAAACGTTCTTGAGGCTGTGGCGACGCTGAAACCGTCGGCTTTGGTCGTTGACTCGATTCAGACGGTGTTTTTGGAGGATGCGACGGGATCGCCCGGAAGCGTGAGCCAAGTGCGCGAGTGCGCCACCGCGCTTCTGCACGCGGCGAAGACGACGGGAATACCCGTTTTCATCATCGGTCACGTCACGAAATCCGGTGACATCGCGGGTCCTCGCGTTTTGGAGCACATCGTCGACGTCGTGCTGTATCTCGAGGGAGACGCCGATCGCGCCGTGCGCATCTTGAGAGGACATAAAAATCGTTACGGATCCACGGATGAGGTCGGGGTGTTTCAGATGAGCGACGAGGGAATGAAACCCGTGGCTTCGCCGTCGGCGCTTTTCCTGGGCGAGCGAATACTCAGCCCAGACGTGTCGGCGGCGCCGACGGTCACCGTGCAGGGGTCTCGTCCGTTCATGCTCGAGGTGCAGGCGTTGACGAACGAACGCGCAGACGAGGGTCAACAGGCGCCCCCCATTCGCACAGCGGTCGGTTTGCGATTCGAGCGCATGCAACTTATTCTCGCCGTGCTGGCGAAATTCGTTCTCGGTCGTCGCGTTCAAAAGCACGACATTTTCATCAACATTGTCGGCGGGATGAAGCTCGAGGACCCGTCGACGGATGTCGCCGTCGCCTTGGCGATCGCGAGCAGTTTCGTCGAGAAGGCGCTTCCGGCCGACATGGCGTTCTTCGGCGAGGTCGGTTTAGGCGGTGAGTTACGTCCAGTCATGCAGGCGGAACGACGAATCGCCGAGGCAGCCGCGATGGGGTTCAAGCGCGTGCTCCTCCCCGAATCCGGAAGCTCTCCCGACATGGGGAAGAAAACGGGCATCGAGCTCGTGCGTTGTAACACTGTCGCGGAGGCGCTCGAGGCCACATTAGGTGTGCGGCCGGTTCGATCGGCCGCGGTTTCCCAACCCAACGGCTCGTGGCCGAGTAAATTTCCGAAACAAAAGAAGTCACACAGTTAGGCGGGTTCCAGTGTAAAGTGAAAGTCAGTTGTCATCACAATTTGCTCCTCGAGAGGATCATTTTCTTCGAGAGCTACGACGGGGACGCTCGGTCACTTCTTCCTTTTTTCCTGAACCCAAGTGGTCCTGAATCTGTTTCAGAGCGCGATTCGATTCCTCCTTTCTGGGTCGCCCGCGCGGTCGCGGCGGCGGTTTAGGCGTGTTCGGATCTTCCGGCACGACCTCTTTCCTCGGCCGACCACGTCCTCTCTTCACGGCCGGTTCTGCCGGCTCTTCTTCGTCCGTCTTCTCTTTCGCAGGACGGCCGCGTTTGCGCGCGGGTTTCTTTTCCAAAGAAAACTGCGTCGGCTCGGCGGACTCAGCTTCGAATTTCTTCGGTCGACCGCGCGTAGCGCGCGTAGCGCGCTTCGCCCCGACCGTCTCCGTCGAGTCATCCTTCTTCTCGGTCGCCACCTCCTTCGTTGCCGCTGGCTTTTTTGTCGCCACGCTCTTCTCCTTCTTGGTCGCCGTCGTCGTCTTCACCGCGGTCGGCTTCTTTGCCGCCGCAGCCGTAGCCGCCCTATTCGCAGGCGGCGACGACGGGATCTGGGGAGAGGACTGCGGCGAGGATGGGAACTGTGACTCCAGCGTCTTTCGGGCCGGCGTCTTCGCCGGGGTCTTTCCGGCGGGTTTCTCGTCCGGTGTCCCCGCGCCCAAGCTCTTCGCCGGTGTCGATTGCTTGTACCCGATGGTGGAGTGTAAGGCTTTGAAGACGCCCACGGCGGCCGCATTCTTCGCCTGATCAGCCATGGACGCTGACGCCTTGGCCACCGATTGCGCCTTGGACGCCGACGTTTGCGCCACCGATTGCGCCTTGGTCGCCGACGCCTTGGCTGCGGATTGCGCCTTGTCCACGACCGCGGCAAAGAGCTGCCTGGATTTTTCGCTCAGCGGCGTCTTGGTCGGCGTCGGAGAATCCGCGGCGGAGGGTTTTCCGAGACGGGGCTTGAAACCGGGCGTGAAGACGTATCTTCGCGCGAGCTCGGCGAATCGAGAGACGGTGTGCGACGGGACCGTGGGTGTCGGCGCCGGTGTCGTCCCCGACGGCTCGATGGCTGTACCGCGAGACGTCGACGCGCCGCTCGCTTTGGCTGGCGTGGACCGCGTCGCCTCGGTCGCTTCGGATTTCGCGATCGCTCGCTCTCGCTTCTCGCACGCGCTCTCGCGCGCCTTCAAATTTGCGAACGACTCCTTGATCTCGCGCTCGCGCTCGGCCGCCGTTTTCTCTCTCTGCTCGAGCGCGCGTTCGCGCTTGGCCACGGCGGCGTCGCTCTTCCCGAGCGCGCGGTTCTCCTCGAGCTCCTTTGCCATGGACGCTAAGCGCGCCGATTGATTCTCCACCTCCTGCTCGAGCTCGAGCATCTTTGCCGCGTTCATCTCGATCTCTTTTCGCAACGACGAGCGATCCTTCTCGAGGGAAATCTTCGCGCTCTCAACTTTCGTCACCGCGCTCTTTTCGAGCTGCAAATCGCTCTTGAGTTGCTTCACCAACCCCTCGCTCGAGGCCAAGAGCTTCTTCACGCGCTCGATCTCACCCTCGAGCCACTCCGCGCGCTCACCCTTCGTCTTCGCCATCAACGCATCTTTTCGATGCTTTTGATTCGATTCCTTCAGCGCGTCGCACTCGCCCTCGAGTTCCCCGACGCGTCTTCTGAGCGCTCCGAGCTCTCGCGCGTCGTTACTCTCGCGCTCGTTCCCACTCTCCCGCATCTCACGCTCACGCTCGAGCTCATCTCTCGCATCCTTCACGCGCTGTCGCAAATCTCTCTCCGTCTCCTCGAACCGTCTCTTCTCCACCCGATACTCTCGATCCGCCTTGTCCACCATGTCCATCACGCGCGCCTCTCTCGCGAGGAGCGCCGCGCGCTCGTCTCTCAATTCTTCGCACACCGTGGACAATCGCTCCACCTGCGACGCGTGCGACACCAGCATCGACGGGCGTGTCGTCAGTCACATCCATCGGGATCGATCGCGGCATCGATACGCGCCGCCGACGGCGTCGCGCCGCGCCGCCGAGGGGAACAGCGCGTCGTTCCATTCATTCCCGCCGCATCGCCGTCCCCGATCCCGCCGCTCACCCCGAGCGCGCGCGCCATGGACACCGACGATGACGCGCGCGACGAGCGCACGCGCGCGTCGTCCGCGTCGTCGGCGTCGCGCGAGATCGGGGTTGAATGAATCAGAATCACATCGTCCCGCCGGCGCACCTCTCGAGCCATCGTCTCGTGCTCCGTTCGCTCCGTTTTCGTCCTCGCGTCGCGCGCGTCGAGCGCGCCCTCGGTCCTGAAACGCGCCCACACGTCTTGCGCGCGCACGTCGGGCGAACGGACGTCGGTGGACATCGTGGGAAGGAGCGGCGTGTGAGGTACGGGCGCGCCGCGGCGTCTTACACGTCGCTATCGGGACGGCGACGGACGCGGGTCGGTGCGTCCGTGGACGTACGTCCCGCACAGACGATCGATGATATCGAATGGAAAGGCGTAATTGACGAAAAATAAACGGTGATGGGCGTCGTGAAAGGTGGTGTCGTACGCGCCGTCGGCGAAGGAGACGTCGACGCCGCTGTGGTCCATGACGCCGCAGACGCCCATGACGGCCATGTAGAGGATGAAACTGGCGCGGTGAAGGGGGAAGAAAAATCCGGGAGCGTACAAGATGCAGTAATACCCGAACGCCTCCATGGGGTGAATGCATAAATCGCACCAGCAACACGGGCTGACGTAAAAGTGATGAATCTTGTGCGCGCGCTCGTAAAACCATCGCGCGTGCATGGCGCGATGCCAGTAATACTCCAAGACGCTCTGCCAAACCGTGGCGACGGCGAATCCGCGTAGAATATCGTAAATCGACCCGATGAAAGTGGCATCTACGTTCGAACCGCCGTACATACGAGTCCATCCGCGCGCGACGCTTTCGCCGACGGCAAAGGCGAAACACGCGCTCATCAATAAATTCACGCTCGCGTACAATCGATGTCTGGGGTGTATCACCCGCGCACCCTTACCTCCGTCGTGTTTCCCGCCCTTCGGATGCCTCCCAGTGATCATCTGATACAGGGGAAACCCCCAAGGATCGCTCTTTGTCGTTCGCACCGTCCCGGTCGCCGCGCGTCCCGGTTGAATCTTCCATTCTCTCACTTCTTCGTCTACATCGGACGACGACGTCGTCGTCGAGCGTTCACTCGTCGAGCGCGCGTCGTTCCCGTCTCCCGCGTCGCCCGAATCTTCTTTAACAAAGTATCGAAGCTCGATCAGTGTGCTCAACGCGATGTATCCAAAGTATTGAATCCCACCGCACGCCCACGCGAGTCTTGAAAACATCGATCTGAATCGGTGTGATTCACGCACGCGGATGGAAATATCCTGTTCGCGTGTGCGGATTCGATCGAGCGGCGAACTCGGTGTTCGACGCGTCGAGGAATGCGGCGCGCGCGTCGCCGCTCACGGTTTGAGGCTTGACGTCGCGGCGAAAAGTGAATAAACAAATATACAACATCGCGTAGACGCTTAAAATTCACTCGGTGGACGCTTCACCGCGAGCACACCTTTTTCTTTTAAATTATCAAACATCTCCAGCGCGTTCAGGACGGCTTCGTCCATGTTGAAGTACTTGTACGACGCGAGGCGACCGACAAAGGCGACGTGCGGCTCGCGCGCCGCGAGCTCGGCGTACTTTTCGTACAGCTCGCGATTCTTCGACGTCGGCACGGGATAATACGGCTCACCAACGTCACTGGAGTACTCGCGCACGATCACCGTACCCGGTCGGTCTTTACGACCGGGCGGTTGATTCGGCGTGTGCTTGTACTCGACGATGCGCGTGTAGTCGACGTCCGCGCCCGGGTAATTCACAACCATGGCCTCTTGGAAAAAGTATCCATTTTCAGAATCCGCGGGCGTATCGTTGATGTACTCCTCTTCGAAACGTAACGACCTGTACTCCAAACGAGGCATCCCGAGCGAGGCGTAATAGCCGTCGATCGGTCCCGTGTAAACAGTAAACGCGCGCCTTGGAAATTTGCCGCGACGAAGCAACTCGAAATAGTCGCACTCGAGCCTGACTGTGATCAAATCATTGCTCGTGAGCATGTTCTCAAAAACCCGAGTGTACCCTCGGCGCGGTAGCGCCTGATGCGGATCGCTAAAGTACCGGTCGTCCGCGGTGACGCGACACGGCAGGCGCTGCAACACGCTCGCGTCGAGCTCTTTCGGTTCCTTATCCCACTGCTTCTTCGTGTAATGCCTGAATACTTTCTCGTACAGGCGTTCACCAACGCGCGCTAACGCCGCTTCCTCACCGTTCGCCGGCGGGTCACCATTTGGCGGCAGTTTCCGTTCGCGTCCGTACCACGCCTCCATCTCCGCGTCCGTGCGCACATCTTCGTCAAACAATTTATTCACAGTTTCCCTCGTGGGCGGGATCGGGACCGTGACGGGTTTCCCATCGTCCCTCATCACGCGTCCACGCACTCTGTGTTCGTACGGGATCCACTCGCTGAACCTTTGGACGTATTCCCACACGCGTTCGTGCTTGGTGTGAAACAAGTGCGCGCCGTACATTGACCGCCGAATCGCACACTTTTCATCTACGTAATCGTAACAATTCCCACCGACGTGATCGCGCTTATCGATGATCAACACCTTCAAACCCAACTCGTTCGCGCACCGCTCCGCGATCGTGCACCCGCTCAATCCGCACCCGACGACCAAGACGTCGAAGAACGCCTCTGGCGCCTCCGCCTCCGCGCCCCACCCCGCGTCTCCCTCCCGTTCCGACGCCCGCGCCGCCCCACCCGCCGTCTCCTCCCGCGCACCGCGCGTCACCGTCTCCAACGCATCCACGGCGCGATCGAACGCGCGCCAACGCTCGAACACCACGCGCGATGTCTCATCGTCATCGTCCTGAAGTCTCTCGTGGATGCCATCCACGCCGACGGCGTCCACGTCGCGCGCGCGCGACGTCTCTCGACGCATGCGGTCGCGATCGGCGCGGAGAAACTCTCACGACGATTTCAATCGAGCGCGGGCGACGCGCGGGCGTGTGCGCGCGGGAGCGACGCGATCGCGGCCGACGTCGAGGCTTTCGGTCGCGTGGGGTTCTTAAACCCTATTTCTAGGGGTTGAAGTGTCTTAGGTTTTAGGGTTTGGGGTGTACGCGTCCACAGCGAACGTGCGATTTTCACGCGACGCGACCGTTGACGCGCGTCCGCGCCGTCGCTCCGCGACGCGGCGTGACGGCACGCATCGCGCGCGCGGCGTCGATCGACGTTCCCACGCGCGGCGATCACGCGCGCGACGCCGGGTGCGGAGCGTGCCGGGACCGAGCGTGTGTTGGTCGATTCGTTAAAGAAAAAAAAGAAAAGAAAAATCAGCAATGCTTCGAGCGACGATCGATTCGACGCCGTCGAGCGATGCGTCGGGTGTGGTGCGCTACGAGGTGCGTACGTCCACGAATTTACCGACGTACGTGGCGAAGAAACGACGAGAGGCGAGTGGGGAGAGAGATTGCGAGGTGGACGAGGCGGAGGCGCGGGACGACGTCGACGACGACGACGACGACGCGTCGACGGCCCCCGCGGTGGAGTTCACGACGCGAAGACGATATCGTGAATTCGCGAGTTTACACGAGAGTCTCACGAAACCACCGGTGAACGCGCGATTACCGCCGATGCCGATGAAAAGAATTTTGTCGAGCTCGACGGCGACGACGAGCGAGCGAGTAGAGCAGTTTCAATTTTTACTCGACGCCGTGGCGAGGGATCACGTGTTGAGAGAGTGCGAGGTCGTCGTGGATTTTCTCACGGGTGGGAATTCGACGAGGATGAGTCGTTCGGAGGCGTCGATGAATCCGCAACCTCAGGTTTCGTCGACGGCGACGCCGTCGGAGCCTCCTCGGCGGTCGCCGTCGCCGGACGCTTGGATGGACGAGGGACCGGTCGAGTTAGACGCTGATCGCGATCGAGGTTCGTTGGACCGTTTAATGCGTTCGACCATGCTCGTTCATCGCGGAAAGGAGGACAGGAACGAGGAGGGGAAGACTATCAACGCGACACCGAGAGAGGCGTCCGACGACGGCGACGCGTTCGCGACAGAGGAGATGACGACGACGACGACGACGACGACGACAACCGTGAGGGCGATGACGTCGATCGGTACGACGAATGATCCATCATCCACGCGAACACCGTTCGAACGCGGACCGCCGACGTGTTCAAATTACGAAAGCACCGTCTCTGGCGCGCGAGAGGCGATCAAGGCGAATGACGCCGACGGTTTGGCCTCGGTGCTCTCCGCGGATTCGTTCGACGTCAACGTCAAGGACTCATCGGGGATGACGCTCCTACACCTCGCATGCTTGTTGAATCGCAAATCTGCGGTGGAGATCTTGATCGAGCGCGGTGGAGACCCGGAAATCGTCAACGCCCAAGGCGAGTCCGCGATCGAGTGCGCGCCGGCGACGCTCGGGTTTTGGATCGAGCGCGAGACTTTAAAAAATCGTAAAAAATAGTAGACGACAATTTCCTAGGCTTTCAACGCATTCATTAGCTTTCATCACTTCAGACCTAAGCTTTGCCACGGCGCGAACGCGTTCAGAGACGCGGATGACGACGAGGACGACGAGGAAGATTCCTCGGCGGAACCGCCGCCGCGCGCCGCGGTCAACTCGGACTCAAACGCGCTCTTAATGATCGGTAACAGTTTCTCCTCCCCGTCGAGCGCCAACGCGAGCCGGTGCGAATCCACCTGATGTACGATGTGTTTCACCTTGTCCCTCGGTAAGAGCGCCGCTTGATCCTTGTCGTGATCCCACGACCCCGTGTGCACGTCGATGTCGGCGGTGGATTGGTTGAGCCCCGACATCATGACGCCCTTGAACCTCTTGAACCACACGTTCGATCGGCTCGGGCGTATGCTCGCGTCGTAGAGATCGACCTGTGGACAAAATGCCAACACTTTGGTCGCGTGTTCGGCGAACATCAACGCCGCGCTCGCGCCCATGGAATCGCCAACGTAGAGCACGCGCTCATACTTCTCGCACGCCTCTCGCAAGGGCGCGCTCCAGCGCTCAAACTCGAGCTCTTGATCACCGCTCGCGTCGCTCGAGGCGTACCACGAGCGATCAACGTCGCACACGTATAAAACATCGTACGAGTCGCCATCCCGTACGTTTTTCTGAAGCTTCTTGAGCAACCCGCCCCAGTTCGGCACCCCGGGCGCGCTCCCAAACGAGACGACGAGCACCGGCGCGCGCGTCGACCCATCCCCTTTCGGCCATCGAACGAGCTTAAAATACCCGCGAGGATTGTTCTCAGGAATTTCTGCGGTGGCGACGATCGCGGCGCCGCGAGTGCGCATTTTTCCCGCCTGTCTCGAGTCCACGCCGAGTGTTTTCAAGGTTTTGCTTCCGTCCACGGCGGCGACAAAGGCGTCCAAACTCTCGCCCGACAAGCCGTCGTTTCCCTCGATCCAAATCTGCCTGATCGACGGCATCTTCCGCACGCTCGTCCCTGGTAACGACGTCAACGCGTTTGAGTACAGCCACACCGAGGTTAACATCGTCATGTCCGCGATTTCATCCGGAAGCGTCGTCATCGCGTTCTCCGCGAGGTTGAGCGCGCGAAGGCGCCTCAATTTCGTCAAACTCTTCGGCACCTCGCGAACGCGATTTCCCTGTAAACTCAGAGTTTCCAACGCCCGTAACCCGCTCATGTCCTCCGGTAAGCGCTCGATGAAGTTCCCGTGAAGATCAATCTCGCGCAAGAGCGGCATTGATCCCAAATCTGGAATCGCTCGAAGACGATTTCCCGGCGCCGAGAGCTCCTCCAGATTCTTCAACTTTTCAATCTCTTCCGGTAACTCCGCGAGATAGTTCCCTCCCAAGACGAGATTTCTCAACGATTCGCACGCACCAATCTCTCTCGGAATCGTCCGCAAGCAGTTCCCGTGCGCCCACACCCCTCGTAAACTCTTGAGGTTGCCGACGGATTTCGGAAGCCTCCGTAACCGATTCCCCGCCAGGCCCAATCGCTCAATCTTCGTGCACCGCTCGAACATCTCGCTCGGTAAATCGTATAAATTATTATTCGACACCTGCAGCTCGAGCAACTCCGTCAACTCCAACGCCTCGACCGGGAGCGCGCGCAGACCCAGTCCGCTCAGGTCGAGCCGCTTGGTCGACTTGGCCTTGTCGATCAACTCCAACGCCTTCTCTCGCGCGCGTTCCCACCCCTCGCGCGATTCCGAGGACGCGCGCGCGCGCGTGCGACCGCATCGAGCGTCAGAGCGCGGTCTCGTCCTCGATCGCGGCGTCACCGGCGTCGTAAAGGTCGATCGCATCGACGCGCGCGGGTTCGCTCGCGATGCGCGCGCGCTCGTCGACGCGCGCGCGCTCGTCGACGCGCGCGGCGCGACGGGCGCGGAGGACATTACGTCGATGCAATCGCGCGGGGACAGCGCGAGGCGACGGCGTCGACGAGTGGGGCATACGGATGCAGCGCGCCGTAGGGACGCGCGCGGCGGAGGCGGGCGCGACGCGCGAGACGCGGCGCGGGACGGTCGATCGCGTTGACGCCGCACGTGACGATTACACCGCGCTGGATTTTGCGGCGGTATTCGCTAGACGTCGCTTTTTCGCCTCGGTCGCGCGCGCGCGGGCGTTCTCGGCGATTCGACGCGCGACGCGCTCGAGCTCGCCGAGCAAGGCGGCTTCGATTTCCGGGTACTTGGTCAACGTCGAATCGAGAGCGATCGAGACGTCGTCGCGCGCCCGCGCGTGCGCCGCTCTCGCCTTCCTCGCGTCGATGTCCTCGTCGCACATTAATTCGTCCACGTGTGCGACGTCGCGCGCGATCTCCCTCGCCGCCTCCGCCGCGAGTTCGGCGACGCCGCCGCTCGAGCGACGCGTTGACGTCGGCGCAGGTTTCTCCTCTTCTTTCACCTTCTCTTCACCCTTAGTCTCCGATGATACCGCGCATTTACTCGTCTCGTCGGCGACGACGAGTAAGATGCGCGCCAACTCCTCCACCGCGCCTTGTTGCACGAGGTTGTGCATGAGCGGCGGCGCGCGCGCGCGCGCGAGTCCGGCCCCCCTGACGCCCGCCCCCCGCGTCGTCCTCCGATCGCTGTCGACCCGGCGAGCGATCGGAATTCGAGCTCGAGTTCACACCACCGCCACCGCCGCCGCCGCGGTTCGACGCGCCGTCGATCGAATCTCTCGCCGCGCGTTGCGCCAAGAGTTTCCTGCGCGACGGCGACGGCGACGCCGCCGCGCTCGCGTGATCGTGAAACCGCGCCCCGCTCCCGTACACCCGCTTCACTTCCTCGTGCGCATCGCTCCCTTCGTAATTCTCGCACGACACGCACCGACACGTCTCCGCGCAATAAATCGCCGCTTGAAAGCACTCGCAATACTTTTTCAAACATCCGCTCCGCTTACAGTGACACCCGCGATTGTGCCGCAGCGCCACGTCTCGCGACGGACTCGCCACCGCCGCGATCTTCGGCCTGAACGCGTTCGGGTTCCGATCTAAAACCGTCTCGATCGCCGCCGTTCTCTCCCCCGCGTGCTCCACCGTATTCATACAATTCGCGCATCGACATCGCGCGCTCGCGCAGAGCGCCCCCGCGGCGAAGCACTCGCAATACAGCTTCAAACACCTCGAATTCTTACAGTTACACCCCTTCCCGTCCCCCCGCTGGATCTGCGCCCGATCTTTCACCGTCGTCATCGCGCGCGCGCCGCCGCCGTCGCTCGATCGTCCGTCGCGGTCGAATCACTCGCGGAATCAATTTGAATGTATTCAAATCCCGTCCCACCGCGGCGTCGACAGCTCGTCCGCACGCACGCGCCGCGCGTCGCCACCGCGCGGTCGACGCGCGCGCGGACGCGACGACGACGACGGGCGATCGGTGCAATGCGCGCGCGCGCGTCGTCGTCGCGATCGGCGGTCGCGCGCGCCGTGGACGCGTTCGATGCGATCGATGCGACGTCGCGTGGGTGGTTTTAGGGTATAGGGTTTACGGGGACGACCCAGACAGTTCGATCGATCGATCGAGTCGATCCCGATCCGGTCGCGATCGATCCATCCATCCATCGATCCCTCGTCGTTCGTGGAATCGACGCGTCCGTCGCGCGCGCGCGTCGCGCGCGATGACGATGACGTGCTGCGATGGACGCGCGAACGACGACGACGACGAGGTGGATTCGACCCGCGGGCGGGCGGGACGGCGGGACGGTGGGCGGGCGGGACCGCGGGACGGTGGGCGGCTTCGGGAATCGACGACGGTGGACGCCGCGACGTACGGGTCGCGCGGACGGCGTCTGGGGAAAGGAGCGTACGGTGAGGTGTTCGAGTACACGCGATCGGACGTCTCGAGCGATGGGACGGGCACCGGACGCGCGAGCGCGTCGATGACGGTGGACGGGAGAGGGACGGAGGGCGGCGGCGCGGCGTCGTTCGCGGTGAAGGAGCTGGATAAGCGACGGTTGGCGAGCGTGTTCGTCGGTTCGGATAGGAAGCGGACTTTATTGGATCAAGCGCGAGCGGAGAGCGAGTTACAATCGTTGTGCGCGTGCGAGAACGTGGTGGAGGCGTACGTGTGGGTGAACGACGCGAGCTCGACGCAGGTGCGGTTGGTCATGGAGCATTGCGAACGCGGCTCAATCGTGGACGACGAGGCGGAGACGTTCGAGCCGTTCGATTCGGAGAAGATTAAGATAATCTTGAGGTCCATCTTACGGGCGTTGCGAACGTGTCACAAGCGAGACGTCGTGCACTACGATATCAAGCCGCAAAACGTCTTCGAGACGAGCGACGGGACGTACAAGTTGGGCGATTTTGGGTGCGCGTGCGAGGTCGAGCGAGATAAGAAGACGGGCGAGCGGGAATTAGTGAGCAAGACCCCGGGAACTCCCGCGTTTACCGCCCCGGAGTGTTGCGAGGGTGAACCCGCGGATGGGTTCAAGGCGGACGTGTGGGCCGCCGGCATGACGGCGCACGCGCTCGCCACCGGGAAATACTTTTACCGCGCCGACGGCGCGTGGGAGACGTATCAGAAAATACTCACACATCGCGTCGATTTCACGGAGATTGACAAAAGAGGCGACGACGGGTTTTCGGATCTCATGCGTCGACTTCTAGAACCAGATCCGGCGAAGCGGTTGAGCGCGAGCCGGGCGCTTCTCCATCCGTGGTTCCCGCAAGAGCCCGCTCGAGTGATGTCGTCGACACCACGACCGGCGTTACGATGGTATCAACGACCGTTTCGCTGGTTACGGATGAAGTTCGCGAAGAGGAAAAAGGGAAAGGATGGGGCGGCGGCGGAGCGAAAGTAGGAAAAATATTACCTGTAGTGATTCAACAAAACGCGCGCAGGCGTACTAGTACACGACGAAGCGAGCCCTATCGCAGGTCACACCGTCCGTCATCGTTCGTGGTCCATTCTTTACGAATTTTGCCAGTTTTTCATAATGTCGTCCATCTCGTCGTCCACGGCGGCCAAGACGTCGTCCACGGAGGGCGGAGCCAAGACGTCCGAGTCGTCGCCCAAGTCGTCCCAAGCCTTTGTCGGACTCAAAAAGTTGCACAAGTCGTCCTCACCGCCGAGATCGAATACATCGCTCGTTTTTTCCAACGATTTCGCCACCTCGAGGTGTCGCATACCGACTCGAACGTGATCCGAATCCGGCGCTCGAGGTTTAAACCCCCCCGAGTAGTTGAGAAGTTCGCGAACTCTCGCCTCGGTTTCGGCTCGATTATGCGCCTCCAACTCCACCTTTTGCTGCTCGCGCGTCTTTCCAAAATACTCGATGTCGTCGTCCTCGTCCACGTACCGCTCCGCCCGCGCTCGCATCTCCTTGAGCTCGGCTTCCGACATTTGCGCCCGCGCCTCGGCGAACCACTTTTCGCTCTCAGTCATCTCCGGTTTCTCCACAACCTTCGATCGCCCCCCCGCGTCGGAGCGATTCGACAATCCACTCGGTTTCCGCACGCTCAACCCACCGCCCCCCCCCCCCGCGGATGTCCCATTCGTGATGTTCCCGAGCGCCGCGCGTCCCGGCGTCTTCGGCGCCGCGCCGTGCGCGAACGTCTTCTGCGGACCAACCGCCGTGTGCCCCCCCAACCCGCCACTTTGTCCCTTCACCGACGCGCTCCGAGGCATCACGGACGCGTTCTCATCGTTCACCCCCCCCCTCGGCGTCGTCAGCGCGCTCGTCGCTCGCGTGAACTCCATCGAGACTGTTTGAATTTCAAATCAATCACCAATCGATCCAATCCTCCACCGCGTCGACGCGCGCGCGTGACGCGTTCGCACCCCGCCCCGATCGACGCACACGCGCGCACGCGCCCGTCCGTGCGTCGCGCGTCGACGTGCGCGCGTCACGCGCGGCGACGTGTGCGATCGCACTCACGCGCCTTCGTTCCCCTCGTGCGTCGTCTTCGTTTGTCTTGACGGTGAAAAATGTCCCGAGATGTCCCGAGATGTGCCGAGATGTGCCGAGTTTCACGCGCACACGGCGACGGCGGACGACGCGTGTCGTCCGCGCGGCGTGCGACGCGCGCGTCGACGCGACGTGCGCCGAGGGCGCGCGCGCGTGGGCGCGCGTCGTTCGCGACGGTGAAAACGAGCCCATCCTTGTCCCGAAAAAAAGTGCGACACACACATTTTAAAAAAATGACCATGGTCGATGGCATCTCACCATCACCCCGTCGGCCCGAGCGACGATCTCCGCGTCAGCCGGGCGACGCGCGCGGGGCGAGGGCGTGGACGTCGTCGCGCGGAGGATGGATCTCGCGCGAACGCCCGCGTCGTCTTCCAGGGTGCGCGTCGATCACGCGGTGGACACATGGCGACACATCGCGACGGACGGGACGCGCGATGGCGCTCGCGCGCGCGCACGCGATGGCGACGGCGCGCGTGACGACGACGACGACGCGCGCGCGCGGACGAGGGCGCCG